TATTTGCTTTTGGATTCGAAATAGATTAATACTGTACTCTAAATATTTCTATAATTTTACATTGTGGTGCCATCTAGCTCCAGTGGGTTATCATTTCAGAAATATTTAGATTACATTGCAAATCTATTTCGAATCCAAAAGCAAATACCATCACGAGACTTAGCGTGATGAATTACCCCTGCCAATATGTTTTACTGGACGATTTCAGTTGAATTAGCCGAAATCGGGGCTCTCAGGAAAACCCTCATAACTCCTGAACGAAATGAGTTAGAGTGTTGGGCTTTGCGTAAATCGAAAGAGAACAGTTTTTTTCTATCGAATGGTGATGTCAGAATTCAAAATCAAATCAGAAACGCCTTCAAAATATCGTTTGAAAAATGTGCATCGAGAATTCATCCCATTGGTTAATTATAAGCCAATCAAAGTTTAGCAGAGGAATGTAACCCCCCAACATTTCTCTTTCTAATGGTTAAAACCGCAGCTCTCTATCTTGTTCCTATCGAAAGTTATTCGAATAACTGTAAGGTCTCTTTTATTTTGAAACAGATAGTAGATTGTCAACATTTTTCTATGAAGCTGTTTCTATAGTGAGGATATGTGCCATTTAGAGTAAAACACACAGAAGACATTCAATCAAATCAAGTTTACCTTGCTTTACGGGTGTATCACTAGATTTTAGCGTTGATTCCGTTAATGTTGACGATATTTTTTCTTTCACTAATGTTTCACCATCATCCGTAACTTGCGATATTGTAGTTTGTTGGTGTTTTTGAGAAGAAGAAATTTTTTCTAATAATCTTTTAAAAAATTTCGGTACTATATTATCCCGACTTGCTTCTAAACCCGTTAACCAGCCATGTTCAGCAACATTATCTAATACCGACTCATACAAATTATCTCTATCTCTAATATTAGTTTCTTGCAACAATTCAAATAATTCTGGACGATAAAATTCACGTAAAGCTAGAAATAACACCACGTGTTCTTTGTTTAGTAGTTTATTTAATACTAAGGGTGCAATATATTCAGAATATTTTTCTATTGATTTTAGACCATTATTTGTTATTGTCAACCATAGCTCATTAAATTCATTTGATTCATTAAAATGTTGATCACTAAGACCGTCGAATAGGATTTGTACGACAATTGATAAAGTTGGACAAGTTTTCATGTACTTGTTTCCATATTCAGCTGTACGATTCAAAACACACTCATAATTGTCATCCTTTTGATATTGTCTTAGAAATGAAACAAACCATTTATTTGAAGACCCATATTGTACTTTCCATTGTTGTTCAAAATAATTTTTTAGAGATTTCAATAATTCATTATCGTTTCCTTTCATTGCGGTTAAATAAATTTTTGGTGCAATATCTTCTTCAAATTTAGTTAACGATTGTCGACCATTTTCTAATAATTCATTTATAATTTGATCTTTTCTTTCATGACCATCCAGATCTAGAGAACGTATTATCTCATTAACAACTAATTTTATCATATAATCATCATTGACGATATTGTCGAGTTTCTCTCTTGAGGAAGATTCAGTTTCTAACGAATTAGAAGATGTTGCCATTTGAAAACCCTGATTTGCATTCAATAATTGATCAGTACATGTAAAATCTGATATAATGAAAAAGGATGCTTAATTTAGTACACTATTATAGCACAGATGTGTGTAACACAGAAGTCATAGAACGATATCATCTCATTTAGTTTTCCCTGATGGAACGGTGAACACTACTTACTGTTCACAAAGTAGGTATTATAACGAATTCTCGACTTATTTACTGCTAATAATTTATCCGTCGTCGATTTTTTAAATACCAACGAATATTTTTGCACAACTTTTGAACAATTCAAACTATCGAGCTGCTGTTTTCATCAATTAATAGAGCAATTCTAGGGGTGACTATCAATATGAGATTCATCGAGGTTATAACTTTTCCTCATGGTTCTTTTGTGGCCGACATCTTTTCCGATGTCTTATTCCTAAAAACCCCATAGTGAGCTGGACCCAAATTTAGTCAAAAAATGTAGCAAGTGGATATTTCTAGCTAGCGTAAAATTTTCAGGACATTGTATCCTATTCTTCAAATGCGATGGTTTACTCTGAACAGCTCACAAACACTTTCATGCATGGAATAAGCACGAATCACTCACAAATATCCATGTTTTTACATATGGCAAATATAATGGTGATATTTTCCTCTTGTATAGAAGCTTTTGGAAAGATAGTCCCTGATATCGTCGCCATACTTTCGAGGCCTGGCGATGGTCGAACCGAGAGTGCATCCAATTTCTTCTCACGAAATCGAATGACAAGAAACTAGAGGAGAGAAGCTATCTTCATGTTACCAGTTACCCGGTAACGTAGATATCTGGTAACGGTAACTTCTTCTCCGACAAGAAACCGATGAAATTAACAATAATAAAAAACCAAACAAACAGAGTAAGTTGTCGCCAAATATTGTCCACTTTCAAAAGATGGTGTTGTACAAAATCTCGAATAGCTTAACAGGCTACGAGAAATCTGTAAATGGTTCCGTAAATAATTTACTTGGGTGTGGGTGTATGGGTCGTTAGATAGATTAGCCAAAGACTGAAGACGTTGACCTACAACCATCATTCGTGATAAACACATACACATCAACCACACTCTACCTTAAGAGATGAATGATGTGCGATCTTTATTGCCTAAACGAGTCGTCTCCCAAATCATGAAATTAAGAATCCAAGTAGAAAAAGTTAAAGAGCAAGAAAGATTACTCAAAATGTTGACTACCTGACTCTTCGCTACATGTTGCTGTTAACCCTTCGTCGATGTCCTGAGGTCCAAGCGGATCCACTTCTCAGTTTTTCATGCAGTACTGCATAGATACTTATTGTTTCGGTGCATTGCTCTTTTGCAATCTCTAGTCATTAGTAGGTCTACAATATCCTTACTGAAAAAGCTTGTTAGCGCAGCCCCTTTGGGGCTGAAATGTGGAACTCACATATATTCTTTGGTTTCGTAATACTAATCTCAAAATATGCAATATTTTAAAACTCCAAAGATAATAGTTCTTTTCTAAAGATAATCTATTATCAGAAAATGCTCTCTTTTCTATCTCTATATTTCGGACAGAAATTTTTTCTTTTTTTTACGAAGTTGCTATGGTCTGTAATGGGGGGGGGGGCTGTGTATATAATGTTCTCTTTCGTTGCTATGGTCTGTAATGGGGGCCTGTCTGTAAGGGGAGGGAGGGGAGAGGGGGAGCCGCGAAACCTCGAACTTCAAACTTACACACTATTTTCTTCGAAAATATATGTGAGTTCCACAAAATATTAATAGCTTTTCTCTAGTCATTAGTAGGTCTACAATATCCTTACCGAAAAATATTAATAGCTTTAAGGAGGAAAAAACGTAGTGGTGGGTCCACATGGACCCCACGACACCGATCGTGTTATAGACATAATTTTTCGTCTTGCTGAAAGTACCATCTATTGTTTCACAATTATTTTTCCGACCAGATTCGTTATCATTCGTTTTTACATTCAACACTTATATTGATAACCACATTTCCTTTGAACTATGTAGACTTTGTAATTGGTTTTAGATCAAAACTACATTTCATTATTTTATCATTTCCCTAGTCGAGAATATCTAAACGAATCCCTGGGGAGTTCCTGGGGATTTGCTAGGAAATTCCTGAGGATTTGCCAGAGACTCTCCAGGAATATAGCAGGAGACTTACGACGACTGCAAACGATCGTACACGACGTTCTTATCATAATATCCACCCCTAGTGAAATATCCTTATAAAATTCCCTCAAAGTCCCTGGAGAATCATGACAGGAATTCCACCATGGGCCAAGGGTGAGTGTGGGACTCCCCAGGGATTCGTTTAGGGATTCTCGACTAGGGTTTCGTTGCAATTGTGTGAATTTTGTTAAAATCTTTGTAAAAATGTAAGATAAACCAATACATACACATTTTCACACTTTTCTGTTTCTATAGTATGGATGCAGCGCATAAATCGAATTTAAAGCGAATTCGAGAGATTTTATTGGCTGATTAAGAAAGATTCTATGGTGCTCAAAGAAAATCAAACAAGAACAACATATTTATTGTGATAAAGAAACTACCGTTTTTCAGCTTTTTAACTATGAAAAGGGAAAAAGATAAAAATAAAGATCACTAAACAGAAAAATATCTTCTTTTCTTAACTACAGAAAATCGGCATATATGAATAAATTAGCACTTTCCTATAGATTCAAACTAAAATCATTGAATCTTATCTCTGAGTGACGATTTAATGTTCTTGTGGAAACAACTTTACAGTATTTATACGACCTACACCGATACTGATACATGAATCGTTATAATAAGAGAGTATTTAGAGGTCTATAGTTGGTCAATGAATAAGGCAAACAAAACAAAAGTATCGATTTTTTGTTAGTATCTATGGTGGGTCCAGCCGGACCCCAGGGCATCTATGAAGTTCAAAAATGAGGACATCGACGGAGGGCTAATCTGAGGAAATGCCACATTTAGTTTGAACGCATTCAACTGCGTTAGAAAATAAAACGGCGTACAATCTCGAATAACAAAAATAATGCTTGTAGATGATGCTACCATTTCGAACGCATTGTGACGCATGTCATTACACAAAAGCATCAGGATGTGTTTATTTTATCCCAAAAATATTTCAAAATTAATCATCACTTTGCATCGGAATCGAACCGACGCATCATAGCGAGCTATGATATAAGTCTCAAATCATATGAGCAACAGAATGGTAATTTTCCAACAACAGCTTGAACCGAGATTTGAACCTACAATCAGTCGATTGAGACGCAACCATAAGTAGCTCTGAGTCATCCGTAGCTCGGAAGTGTTTTTATGCTTTATAACGAAATGAATAACTTTTTCTTCATCTTTTATAATAGAAGGGAATAAAAGTATCGGTTTATTTTTTCTGCATAGAATAATGATAGGTAAAATGATTACATTTATTATATAAATGAAATAAAATATGGATATTTTATAAAATAAATATAAAGGACGGTCACAAAGTTTGGATTCCTCCCAGTAAATCTATGATATCTACATCAAAAATTATATGAAGTTATTTATCAACTATGCCATCTTGTAGAGGAAGACTATAGCTATCATCTTATAAAAAAATAGTTCGAAATACATAAATTCATAAGAAATTTGTAGTCATTTTAATAATCTTTAGTGAAGATTTTTACCTTGCATTTTTTTGAGCAAAATAAAAAAAATTATTATTTCAAAGTAATAGTGTGTTTTTTGCTCGTAGAAACTTCTCTAAGCATCTATAATTTTAATAAAAGATTATTTATTGTATTTGTCTATTATGATTGTAGCTTGTAACAGTATTCATATTGGTAAAGACTTCCATGTAGAAAAGTCTCAATTTATAAGGTTTACTGTTCCGAATTTTTCCTCTAGTATGCCACCTATCTAATTTTATCTTTGCGACAGTCTTTAACATTAACAAAAATATTCTATTTTTTATGTTAAAACCATATTGAGCAAGTTAGATAACAAGAAGATGAAAAATCAAGGCTGATTCACATCAATTATGCGGTCTTGCCAATTTATTTGAATTGTGATGTTTTTCTTAGAAAAAATTCGGAACAGTAAACCTTATACTTAGGGCATACCATAAATAGTGGCGGAGGTTCATAAAAATCTTATAAAAGGCTTTCAGAAATTTTCTTTTTTTTTACCTAATGATAGAGTAAAAAAAGTTCTATCATCCTATGCTATTTGATCACTACTTGTATAATATTATAGTGAAAAAAATCTTAAAAGGCATGTTTTGCTACGGTATTTCCCCACAATTTTAGCACATATCGTTTTAAATATGTGCTGTTGCATTGATTTTTTTTGTTCTCCTCTTATCTTTTCTTTATTCTTGATTCTTATCCATTTTAATACGTAACCCTCTGTGTATAACGATACAAAATCGTTGAATGACAGAACAGAAAAGAATAGGAAGCAGTAAAGTCAGTTTTGGGTGTGGATGTGGATGGGTGTCGGTGTGAGTGGGTGTGGATGTCGTTGTGGGTGGGTGTCGGTGTGGGTGGGTGTGGGTGTGGATGTGGGTGTAGATGTGAGTGTGGATGTGGGTGTGGAGTGTGGGTGTGGGTGTTGGTGTTGGTGTGGGTGTGGAGTGTGGGTGTAGATGTGGGTGTGGATGTGGGTGTGGAGTGTGGGTGTGGGTGTTGGTGTTGGTGTGGGTGTGGAGTGTGGGTGTAGATGTGGGTGTGGAGTGTGGAGTGTGGGTGTTGGTGTTGGTGTGGGTGTGGAGTGTGGGTGTACATAAATCAAATAGAAGCAGGCCGACCTATCTCTTAACGAAAAGACAAGATCAATCTGCTAATCTCAATTCTTGCTTTTCAGCAATCGATTATGCCAAGAGCTAAATAACAATATAATAATAGATAAATGTGTTTGATTTAAAACTAATGAAAAAATCCAGACTTTATTTCTCCGACGCGTTTTGTGTATTATATTGAAATATTGAAACATTCTTTCGGTCTCTGCATTACATATTTAAGGCCTGAAGCAAGAGCAAAATAGGGCAATCGAATAAAAATTAAAAGATTCAAACAGTTAACAATATTAGGTAAAATAAAATTGAGTAAGATAAAAATGAAATACAAGAGTTATGCAAGGGAAAAAGAATTCTTAAGAGATTGCAATGAATTTTTTGTGGAGATAGAGAAGTAGGCGGTTATCTGTTCTGAAAATATATATATATATTCACCGCTGTTAAGTCGAAGACCGTGAAGGATACCGTCTCCCATGCGATGCGAATTTATACTTGTGTTTAAAGTATCCAAATTCAATGCGAAGAAATTCATTAACATTGATTAAAATTCATAATAATGAGAATCGCCACACAAACTTTATTATCTATCCTTCAGATGATTAAACAATTTAACACTGAAATAATCTAATTGCTAAATAACCAAACTATTAAATAACTGCACCATGAAATAAATGAAATAATCTAATTGAGTGTGTGTATGGATGTGGGTGGAGTATGGGTGTGGGGTGTGTGTGGGGTGCGGGTATAGGTGTGCGTGTGTGAATGAGGGTGTGGGTGTAAGTTTTGGGGATCACGATAGTTACACGCACACACACACACACATGCTCTCAACCACACTAACACACATACCCACTCATTAGCCAGCCAAACCAATACCCTTGCCAGCCACACCCGCACCTTAGCCAGCAATAGCCACACCCTAGTCAGTCAAACCCAAACTCTAGATAGCCATACCCTAGCCAGCCAAACGCACACCCATTCCCACACCCACACCCACACGCACACACCCACTCACACCCACACCACCCACCCACACCCACACACCTACACCTACCTTCACGTTCAATGGAAAATCAACTTTCAAATTTCGATTTGAAACTTGCACATATACTGCTTTCACCGAGATTAGCTTACAAAGAATTCAGCGCTATTTATAGCACGAGCAGACAAAGATGAATAAAAGCGAGAAAATCCCGATGGAAAGGGTGATAACAGAAAATAGGAAAATCCATATGTGAAGAAACGGAAAACATATGTGGACATATGTGAAGAGAGCAGAAAGAGAAGATATATGTGAAAAAAAAGATGATGATCCATATCATCCTCTAACAGACCCTTGACCTTTAATCCTAACAAAGACACAAGCAAACTCTTTTCAGTTTTTTTCGTATGATCTTCCCTTTAGTCGAGGGAATAATCTTCTTGATGTTTATTCTTTTTGTTGAAATGTTGCATGATAGTGATTATTTAGATATTCTTTCCATCCTGAATATCCTCGATTAAGAAAATAACCATTTCTATGATGAAATCGTTTCGGTGAATCCCAATATCCAGTTGGATTTTCTCCAATACAATATATTTTATCTGGTTGATCAGCTTTTGACCAATGTACATATTTACTATCTTTATGAAGATAAACAAACATTTGTCTACGTTGATCGAAAAGTTTTACTTGTTCTGGAATTAATTGTTTTGAATGTAGTTCCACTGCTAATGTATCAACACATTCTAATTTAATAATTTTAGCATCTGAAAGAATTTCTTTCACCCGAAATCCACTATACGGATAAAATAAAACTTCTTGTTCGTGTGGAAATTCAGAATATTTACTGATATCCGTATAATAAGTAACACCATTAGAAGATGTATCAATCTGAAATGTATAATTACCAAATTTTGATGCTCTTTTTCTATCACGTGATGCACTGGAAAATGTTGGCCATAAAAATATTTGATCTTCTTGATATTCTTTTCGAACATAAGCTGGATCAAGTTCAAGATTCCGATAAATTCTCATTGGTTCTGTTTGACGATTTTCTTGAATTGCTCGACGTAATTTATTAATATAAATAATATGCTTTCTCAATTTATTATAATTATCACATAGAAGAGCATCATTTATTTCTTCGTATATTGGTGATTCACCTTCCAAAGTCCATTGATAAAAAAGATTTCCTGCATCGATGTATTGATCATTTATATCCTTCCAAATCGCTAAATAACAGGGACGTCGAAATGTTGGCAAAAGATAACGTGATGTGGTCGCCGAAAATCTACTTTGAAGACGTTTTTCACAAGTGACCATTTTATGATGAAAAATCTGTCGAGTCTATGGAAACAAACCCTAGATAAAAATGGAGAGAAGATATACAAACATTGACCTATGTTACCTTCTTATTACAGGTAAAGAATTTTGATTTGTTAATCTAATTCAAACTATTATTCTTTAGTCTACATCGATAATAAAGCGGCAGAAAAATCCTCACGCATAACTCAAAGAATTCCCTGCGAATCTTTCGTCACTTGTATCTCTGTGAGTAAAAGAGCTATAAGGGTCAAAATCTAGCGTAGAGTAGATCTAGGTGTCTAGTATATATATGCTTTAAATGTCAGCTCATTCTATCGAGAAACATGCGAGAAAAGCGCATCACTTAAAAGAAATCGAAACTTATTACACAGTCAATACGTTTTGAATTTAAAATAAGACAATCATTCAGGTTGACGTTTAAAAATATACTTTTTTCACTGTAACAACTATTGCTCGTAGATGCAATTCTGTTTTACACACACATATATATATATATATGTATAGATATAGATATTGTTTTTAGAGCAATTTTTATCTTTCATTGTTATTTCCAACAAAGAGATTTGTATTTGTTCTCACTTATTGATAAGACATCATTTTATTGTCATCAAATAAAAGATTTTTCCCATTTCTTCCTTTTTGCACAGGATTTCGTAATAACGTTTCTTTCCAACATAGAGAAGTATGTTTTTTCCCTGTTGTTGATAAGATATCGTTTTATGGTCATCAAATACAAGTAACGCTCGTCTCTGCAACTCGCTTAACTCTCGAATGTCCAGCCTGTTTCATCTATTTTTACTAATTTTGAAATATAATGTACGCTTAACAGGAAAGGAAGAGTGTGAGTGTGGGTGTGGATGTGGATGTGGGTGTCGGTGTGGGTATGGGTGTGGGTCTGGGTCTGGGTGTGGGGTGAGTGTGGCTGTGGCTGTGGGTGGAGGTGTGAGTATGGGTGCGGGAGTGGCTACGGGTGTGGGTTTGGGTAAGGATGTGGTTGTGGGAGTGGCTATGGGTGTGGATGTGGGTAAGGATGTGGATGCGGGTGTGGGTGTGGATGCGGGTGTGGGTGTGGGTGCGGGTGTAGGTGCGGGTGTGTGTGTGAGTTTTGGGCACCACTATCGTTCACGCACACCCACGCACACACATGCACGCGCTCAACCACACTCACAGACATACCCACACCCTAGTCAGCTAAACCGAAACCCACACCACAGCCAGCCACACCCACACCAATTCCCGCACCTGCACCCACACCCAGACCTACACCCCACACCCTCACTCAAATACTCATCCAAATTCTCGTAAACATTTTCGGATAAATCTCATCTGCTTCTTCAATCAGACTTCACATCCAAACACACATTCAGCCACCATATGAGACGATCCCCAGTCTTCTAACTAGCACACAAGTTACGTATCACGTTCTTTTTTCTCTCTTACTTTTCTTGATTTCGTTTTGTCGAAAGAAAATGTGTGCGATGCTGAACGGAATAAAGCAATAGTGGCGAACAAAATAAAAATAAAAATAAAGTTTGTTCTGTGTTCTTCTTTATAATAGAGTAATAATAAACACAGAGGTTGTTGTCACATGAGTGAAAACTTTACAATTTAAAATCAGATTCAATCTATTCTCGTCCCTTTTACGCAGTTTACTATTTATCCAAGTTCAACTGAACTACAGCAGAAGACAATTATTTCTTTAGACAACTTTTACAGGTAAACATGAATTTCATTGTAATTCACGAATTCGTCTAAAATCTTTAATTTTAGAAAAAATCAACTAATCGTTTAGTTTAGTCGAATAAGAAACAATGTTTCTTTCCAAATAGCAGCCGTGGACATAGAAAGAAACTGAAAATAAGGAAAATATTTAAAAATATTCCGATGCACGGATTGAAACTGTACTATGGGAGAATTAAGGATGGTTGTTGACTTGATTATACTGTGTATTGATTCGAAAACATGTCAGAATTTTAATTGAAGAAGTAAGCAATAAAAAAATATTTCTTATTGTTCCTGGAGCACATGGCAAAATGTTTCTATCATTGGTTCATCAATTTAATCGACTCATTTCTATTGATGTATTTTGTGGTTACTCATCAGCCTATCAACAACAGACAAAACAATGGAACAAAATAAATGACGTTTGAAATCAATTCGAACGTATCTGTGAATCAGTAGTGAAAGATACTGCAAAATACGAATACGATTTAACACCAACAAGTATACTATTGTCAGCTAATAGAGAAAATCAAGATTTAAATCAAATCAACACCTGCAACTTTATCTATTGTTAGTAGAAAGATTCAACTTTTTTTTCTATTCTTTCTATTTTCCTCCTTTTATTCTGCTCTTTTAAGATTGTACTTTTTAAATTTTCATTGAATATTGTATATTTGAAAGGATATTTTTTATCAATACTTACGAGAGAAAATTTCCTTTTGTGTCGCTCAGATTTCGTTCGTTCATCCATCATGCTGTAGCAGACCTTGAATTTGTAGAAAGCCTAAAAGGATTCCAGCTGATCACTCTGTATTTCGAAATTCCAGTCAATTTCCTGATGTTTGAGATGAAGACTAGTACAAAAAGCAAAAAAATCATAGATTCATTCAGAAGACTCATGTAAAACTAAATTCTTTTTTCTTGCAAGCTTAAGGATCCTTATATACTAAAAGTTTCATACTTATATTGCTCTCTTATTCCACATTGTAATGTTTTTCTATTCGTAAGGAACATATGGAATATGTCGACCGTCTAGTGGTTAATATTTTTAGCAAGTGTTATTCTTCTTCTGCTGCATAGAAGGATGTAAGTGTGGATATTTACTAGGGTTATCTTTCATCGTATCTACATCAACCCACATTCATACCCCCTAGCTATTGTAGTTGATCGATCGCTGCTGTTCATTTCTTTTTATGTCAATTCTCAAGTAAACCACTCGTGCAAGTTAGATGGTACGCAATTTGTCCATTTAAAGACACTCATATTCTACGAACTGGAGTGTGGGTATCAGTGTGGACGTAGATCTCGGTGTAGATGAACAAGAGATGAAGAACCACAGCTATATATACACCTATTTGTCAAAGTCGAGATTGTAGATGTGAATGCGTATAGTTAAGATGAAAGATCAGCCCAGCAAACACCTACAACCACACCTGGTAGCACAGAGATCTATAAAAAAATTACTTTGTGCAGATTTGAGATATTCTTCAAAAGTTGTATTGAATTGTTAAGGTTGAGAATATACACAAGAGCCAACAGGTTCAATTGAATCTATCAAGACGACCTGCTACTATTTACCTATACTCAATCAAACAGCTCTATCAGTTTATTGTACGTCCTTGATGGTATTAAAATCGATTTTATGAATCATGAATGATGATTGGATGTTATATTGACTTGCAAAAAAACAATCTTTTTATGTTATTAGCAGCCTTATAGAAATCAACACAGCTATTTTTTTTCTAAAATAGATTTGATACAGATACTGACGAAAGAGAAATTATTTTGAATATTGAAGGTTGCAATATAAATCAACTATTCTAAAAGATAACTAGTGGTGGTGCCCCCCCCCCCCCCCCCCCCCCCCCCCCACCCTCCCCCAGACTAGCTATACCGAAAATTAATAAAAATAAAGCACGCGG